ATCAAAGATCTCGAATCACGCCACCAAATGACACCAAGCAAAAATGCATGGTTAATTAAAATGATCTCTATCAAAAACTTAATCTGATAAATGTTCGATTTGGAAACGTGTTAAACAGGATAGCCGTAAGATGTGTTCGAGTGTACACGAGTTTCGAAAAGAAAAAAAACGTTTACGTCCAAAACGATGACCAATGAAATCTTTGAGACGATTTACCGAAGAACGAAAAGAATTAGCCAAACTTTCCATCGCCATATTGGAAATCTGATAATGAGATCTAATGTCACACCAAAATACTATATCCCGTTTTGTCGAGGAATCCCTTTTGGCTGTGATTTATTTGATCTACAGGATGAGATTCGTACAATGAAAAAAAAAAGCTACAGTATACAATATCTGAGATATCTTCGTTTTTGAGATCGGATATTTGCATATCGGTTGTTGCAGTTATGACTCGATCTTAATACTTTACGTGTATTGCGCATATTTTGTCTCTTGCTTCCGGTCCGCCTTATTGGTGGAAAAAAAAAAAAAGGAGTGAAGTAAATTGTATGTATTTATTTGTAGTCCAATAAAATTTCTCCGATGACATATTACTTGTTTTTATTGTTTACAATGTGCGTTTAACGTGCTTTAACGTGCGTACCAAACGTGTTTGTGAATCTGATAAACCATTTCGAAACTTGAAACAGCGAAAATATGAGTTTATCAGATTTTGAACACAAAAAATCCCGATTGTTAACATCTTTTAATAACCGGTATGCCGATACTCTTTCCTTCGTTGGTGTGTGAATCTGATAAACTTGAAACTGAGTTTATCAGATTTTGAACACACAAACATTCCCGATTGTTAACATCTCTTAATAACTGGTAATGTCGATACTCTTTCCTTCGTTGGGTTAATTACAGTTATCAGATTCTGCAATCAAAATTGTCACCGGGAAAGTTTAATATAATACACTTCATTGTTGTACGTACATACGCGCGATAGTCGTCTTGATCAAAAAAGAAAATTCTGTAATTGCGAATCTGATTTTGCATGCGGGGGCTGGTAATTGCCCGCACGTTCAATGGTACGCAATGTCACGCGGAGCCGAAATGTGACTCATTCACCCGCTAATTAACCAACGACCGGTAATACTCCTGAAATGGCTTATCAGATTTTGAGCACAAAATTTATAACCTAAACTAAATGCTCAGATATCAGATTGTCATTATTACCTAATTAATTGGGGCTTATCGCGTTCTGTTCCGATAGGTGATTAATTTATATATATATATATAAAAAAGAAGTAGCCAAAATCAAATGTGAAGAAGGAAAGTACTGTGTTAATGCGAATGAGTAGTTGGTCATTCAGATATCATGTGTGTAAGTGAACAAATCGAAAGAATTGGGCTGAGATTCTTTGATTTTTCTTCAATCATAATGTAATAATTGTCTCGCTTACATTTATGGCTGCAGTCAACTCATTAAACAATCAACATTACCACACAATTATTAAATTAAATTACTAAATTATTTA